GTGGTAGTGACGGCCTCACTGAAGGGGAGGTGGAGGCTGAGCCCCAATTTGGACTCAGAGTGCTGAAGCCCTTCCCCGCAGACTGGCCATAGGTTCCTGGGGTGTCAAGAGTGGATACTGATTGCCCTCACCTGGGGTGTTATTCCAGATTGAACACCCCTAAGCCAGAGAAGCATAAAGAGGAGCATGCATGGGGGCAGACTCCAGGGCTGGGATCACACCCAGTGGGTGGAGCACCCCAACCGTTGGTTGGAGAGAAGGCCAATCAAGAAGGCCAAGAGACAGATAGACTTGAACCTGGGTCAGGGAAATGAGGTTAGGATCTGAGGCCAGACCTTGGGAAAGACTGGACTCCTTAGAGTCCGTGGCGGCTGTTAGTGGCTATTTAAATCAGATCTAATCCAGGTTCTCAGTTCCACTCGCCACAGCTTGTCAGCCACACATGACTGGTGGCTACCATATTGGATATGCACCATTTCTGTCATCTCAGAATGTTCTGTTGGACAGCTCCGCCTTACTGGAGTTCCCATTAGATTCTTGAAAAAGTCATATTCTGGGTTGAACTTCAAGTTCGTCCTTCCGTTACAATATCCTCTCATTGCCACGAATCTCCAGGAAAGAGATTATTCAATGGGCACAGTGCCAACTTTGATGGCCTTGGGGAAACGGATTATAGGGAAGGCCAGGGAGGGGTGACCAGCTCATCTCTGTGCCTGTGCCCAGGGAGGAGGATGTCAGTGGGGGTGGGGATGGTGTCCAGGAGCTCTGGATAATGACTCAGAGCAGAGTCAACCTGAGCATGGTCCACAGGGCAGGTTGGGAGGGGGAAGAGCAGTGTCCAAGGGGACGGCTCAGGAAGGACGAAGATCAGCTGCTTAGATTTCCCACCACACTGCAGGAGGTGACCAGGAAGGCTGACCCTCATGTACAGACCACAGGGGGTCACAAGAGAGAGAAGCAGGTGAGAGAAGGCAGAAAGCACCGTGGGGACAGGGAGCAGAGAAGACGGATCTGCACGGGGACGTTTGGAACCAGAGGGACCTCATTAGACCAGACCCTGGAAACACAAGCTGCCTCCTGGGGACAGGACTCTCGGCCACAGGCAAGGTCCTGAAGGAACACTGGATGAAGAGCGAGAAGGTCCCGCGTCCAGGCTCACCATCTCCCTTCCGGGTTCTTGGCAGAGAAACTGAGAAGCCGCTGGCCCAAGGCCCCCGGGGCAGGAAAAGGGGATGATGGCGGCGGGGACCTGCCACCCCTTTCATGTTTTTTCTCTCCCGTTATTAATCGTGGGGGTTGTGATCACACTTCAGTGGGCCTTCAAAGGGAACAAGTCAGCAGAACTTAATTAAACCTGAGCCATTTAGCACATCGATCATAAGAAATACACAGTCTACACAGGTGGTTAGGCCACCCGATTATGACCCTTCTTTCCCTGGGCCTGGCGCCCCCCCTGACGACTCCTTCGCCGCGGTCTGCTGACGGGCCCTGGCTGCACAGCTGGAGGCTGGGGGGCCTTCCCACGGAGCCCTGGTCTCTGAAGGCAGTGGGGTCACCAGGGAGGAGATCAGGGTGTGCTCACCGCCGTCCTGCCGTGGGGACACCTCCTGACACATGAAGGCGGGTGCCGGCCAGGAGTCTCCCCAGGGCTGACCTGCGCTGGCCCCTTCCCCAGAGCTGGGGCCACAGACCCCCAGGCTCCCTTGATCCCACAGAGCAGAAGGCAGGCCCCTTGGGGTGCCACTCCAGGCTCTCCTGTGCTAACTTTCTAGAACCATCTGCCCTCCGCACCCCTCA